AAGCCAGGTGACTGTATTTCCATGCAACTTTTGCATCAAACTCCAGTGCTTACCTGTAGATATTTGCATGTTCCACAGAAGAAATACTGAATGTGTGGTTTTTGTATACAGTATTTATTTATGCAAACCCATTAGAACTTCTACACTGAAATGATTGCGGGCCACCACTCTATACAATCATTGGGGCTACAAATCTTCCCAAAAACATTTTATAGATTTCCTGGAATGAAATTATCTTCAGAGACAGTTAATCATGAGTTGCTTTACACTTTATATTTGCCTCTAATTTTGGCTCAGTTTTTTATCAGTCAGCTCATCCTCATGTATCGTGCACATCCTAGTCTTTTTGGCTATTCTGTCAAGTGAAATATCCCTTAAGATTTCAAAATTTGCCACCATTTATGACTTCATGAAGTGGGCATCAAGTCTACTAGCTAATTCCTCAAAAACAGTCCTAAAACTCTTATGTAGAATGGCAGTGTGACAAGCTTTGGGAAATCAATTTTTAGTTATTTTTAACCTTGCTGGGGTCAGGGAACACTATGAGAATGTGACAGAAACTGTCACCTTCCAGAAAGAAAATGAACTTTTCTTCTTTTTACTTTTTACTTTTTTTTTTTTTTTTGGTGGAACCGGGGATTGAACTCAGATCCTTGTGTTTGCCAGTCAAGTGCTTATCCTACTGAGCCATCCCTCCAGCCCCCAACATATTCTTATATCAATGCATTTTTATGTCTTTTTCAAAGGGGTTGGTAGATCCCTATAATATATCCAGGGATCCCCTGGAGTTAAGAACATTTATTCTAAGGGGACAAAAAAAAAAAAAAAAAAAAAGGAAAGAAAGAAAAAAAAAAAAAAAAAAAACACACTTACTTTTATTTATAGTTGAGGTATGTTTAAATAAAGTTCAGTAGTGTCACTTATCATCACAGCTTAAATCCATACTATTCCACATATGGACTCCATTACATGACTTACTTGTGGAATTTCTGTTCCTTTTTTTTTTTTTTTTTTTTTTTTTTTTTGTACTAGGGATCGAACTCAGAACCAGGACTTTGTGCTTGCCAGGCAGGCATTTAAGCTGCTGAGATATCTTCCCAGTCCTGTGATTCCTGTTATATGGGCATTTTGTGTTAATGAGTTTTAAATATTTAATGGTCTTTTAAACCTTCTTTCAATGAGATTTTCAATTTATGAAAGTATTTTTTATTCTTGTTAATCTTTAAAGTAAATCTATGTATAGACTCTTACCTTAAATATTTGATTTAATATTACCTTTATAAAAACTTCTTTAAATATGACATTGACCTTGCAGTATTTGAAAGTCAAAATCTGCATATAAATTTAATTCTACTTTCTGCTATAAAAAATTGACTGAATTTCAGAATTAGGTGATAACTATTTTCCATTTTTAACATTACCAAATGATAATTTTAAAAACTACATAAAATAAAAACCTAAGGTGCTACAAGAATTTGGCATTTGTAACTATATTTTTCACAGTATCTTAAAGAACTAATATAATAAGCTCTTTTGTTACCATTTATACTGGTGACCTATTCTGTTTAGATCGCAATGACAAAATCCTACAAAGTGGGAAGCTTATAAATAAAAGATACTTCTAATCAATATAAATCATGTGCAGGTACAAATTCCCTATGATGATTGTGATCATATATATATATATATATATATATATATATATATATCATGTACAAATTAATTAATTTTTAAGAAAATACATTTACTTCTCACAGATCTGGAAGTCCATGAAGTCCAATGGACTACAGTGGCTCTATGAAGTCCAAAATGAAGGTTCTAGCAAATTCAGTGTTTGTTGAAGGCTCATTTTCTAGTTCACAGAGCCTCCTTTCTTATGTCCTCCATGGAGGAAGAGGTGAGGAAGAGGTGAGGAAGAGGTGAGGTGCCTTCTTTCAGAGGGCACTAATTGTGTTTCTGAGGGTTCCACCCTCATGAGCCACTCACCTTCCAAAGGGCCTAACTCTAATGCCGGTGCCTTGCAAGGTAGGATTTTAGCATATGAATTTTAGGGGACACAGGCATTCAGACCACTCCACTGTGTATATTTCCTTTCTGTCATTATGTATAATAATTTCATATAAATACACAGTGCAACCCCCCTTACTTCCTAAACAGAAGAGCTGCATTGTCATTACAAACCCATAGCTAAGCATAATTTAATAGGATCCATGAATTAAAATACACAGGATCAATTCCAGTCTTGGCTAAATTTTATGAGGCTGGAAATTCAAGCAATCCTTTTTAATAGAGTAACTTCAGCAGAAACGATCATAGCCACCTGGTTATGTTTGAATGTTATCATTACTGACAAATGTAGAGATAGAACCATTGTGGAGGAGAGACTTAGCTGACAGAGTGGGACTGGTAATGAGTAGTGGTCATGTGAAACCCTTGCTGTAACAAGAACACATGTGTATTTGTGCACATAATCACATGTATATTTGCACACATAAGCATACTGAAACAGTACATTTTTAATATGCATATTCTTTCACATATTTTATTTCTGAAGGTCAGGGTATGTCCTAGAATTTATAATGTGCTATAGTTTATTTGATAGCATTAAATAATACTGGAAATACAAATTGTTAATATCTTGGTTTCAATGAAATGTATTATATACTATGCACAAAAATTATGCAGAGAACATAAACTCAGAAAAGGCTTTAGTAATGTTAAAGCAACTCTCTGAGGAAATTGAAATTAATTGTATTCTGATTTGCTGGAGACTCAGATTTTGATGGTGTAACATAAATAGGGCAGTAATTGGGTTTTCAACCATCTTATGAGAATTATTTGATCACTCATCAACACATAAACTCAATGTAAATGACCTTTCGAATGACTTAAGTAATATTTTTGCAGAGAAATACTGTTAATATAAGAAATGTGTATTATTGAATGTTAAGGAATAAAATCCAAATACCTATAAAAGATCACATAATCCTAAAATACTGATGCTGAGAGAACTGAGAGTTGAACAATTACATATCCAATAATATTTTCTTTTTCTGTATTTTAGGGAAGGGTCTTCAGGGTGTTTAGAGTTTCACTACTAGATCAGACTCATATGATTCTGCTGTTTACAGCCTCGCAAGTGCTGGGATTACAGGTGCGCAACACTATGCCCAGTCTCAGTCGCCACCTCAGCACACCCCAGGGGCAGGGCTGGCCCAGCAGGCCCAGGGATCAAACCCTGGCCCATGAGCCTACTTGCAGGAGCTTTGATCCACTAAGCTATTTGGCCAGCCCACCAATAACATTTTCTGAAAAACAAAACTAAAACTTTCACATTAGCCTAATGCAGATTGTTTTCAACCACTGTTTCTTTCCAATGTTAGTGGGGGGGGGGGAGAATTCAAGGACTTTTTTCAATCCATGCTAGCTCCAGAACCTAAAAGGGCATATTTTAGTGGGAGTTGGTTTAAAATGATTTGAATGAGGTAACAGATTAGAAAATATGTGCATGCTCCATTTTTCTTCCCAATTTTGACTTTTAAACTTATTGTCAGTCTCAGAAAGAAATAAGAAACAGTTCAGATAATTAAACATTTGCTGTAGGGGAATTATTTGCAGTTAATTAAAAGTACACACTTTGGGTGTACACTTGCTTCACTGGTTATTAAATGTGAATCGTATGTTAACGATTAAGCTTCTCACTTGTCCATCAAATAGTACTTGTGCCTCACAGAAGGAACAAACTTTCTTACATCCACCCAAACCTTGGAAAGGAGAAAGAGAAGGAAAAGAAGGAAGATGGAAAGGGAAGCAGAGAAGGATGACTGGGGTTAGACTGCATCAGCTTCAGCTCTGTTTGGAAGTTCACATTCAGCTGAGAGCTTCCCACTCAATAGAAAACCCATTTGTTAGCTACATAGATGTAGGTCTTCTAGAGCCAGCTGGCTCCTGGTCACATGCCAACAAGATTACCTAGTGGCTTTTAGACATCTTTTTACTCTACATAAAACATATCTACAAGGCTGTAACATCCATAAAGGCAAAGATTTAGTGTTTTCTCCCTGTTGCTCCTCAGCATTCAAGACAATTTCTGGCATGTAGTTGACTCTTAATATTTGTGAAATTTCCTGTATTCTTGTTGATCTCTTCACAGGTTTATTCTAATGCCTTCTAAAGTAACTTCCAGAGAGACCTGGAACCATTCAGAATTGTAGTTTACAAGAGCTCATCATCAAGGGTGGGCCAGATAGCTCAGTGGATTAAGGTGCCCGCTTAGGCAAATGCAGGCACCAGGGTTGGATCTGGGGTTCAATTGCCGTGCCAGCCCTGCCCCCAGGTCACACTGAGATGGTAACTGAGACTGGGCATGTTGGCATGTGCCTGTAATCCCAGGGCTTGGGAGGCTGAAAACAGGTGAATCACTATGAATCTAATCTGTGTAGTGAGACTGTGAAGACCGTGTAATAAATACAGAAAAAAGAGCCCATCATCATGGAATCTTTTAGCCATATTATCTCCTGCATAACATTCATTGTAACAAAAAATACACATACTCTAATTTCATAACTAAATGAAGTACAAGAAGAACAGCATTGCCCAGAACAGGCTTGTGTTCCCTCATAGTTGTTCGGCGGTCCTGGTACCCAGGAAAGACACTCTTAATGACCCCTGGATTTCCAAGGTGCTGTCTCTTTCTCAAGGCTCCCATGTATCTACAACTCCCAGCCCCGGAAGCATTAAAAATGTTAAATTTAGATATTTCTTTAATCGTCTCTATTTTTGCCTTCCTTTCATATCCTTTCTCACAATTCTAAAACTTTCGCTGATGCGCGAAACCTGCTTTATATATATTTTTTCTTTGTTGCAAAAAGACGCCCCCAACTACACCTCTTCCTTTGTGTAGCTTGTGCAGGCTCTCGCAAACAAATCTATCATGCCAGTGTTGGAAGCTGCTTTTCTGTCAGTTAAAAAGAGCTGATCAAATTTTACTTTCTTACCAGAATCTGCAAAGGATGACAGTATTCCAAAAGACAATGAAGTAACAGATGACTCTGCGTGTGATCAAGACCAGCCCAATGGTAAGTTGTGAGATCTTTCTCTCATGTTTTATTTCCTCATTAGGAAATACTACATTGTTTTTAAAAATCAAATTTGAGCTTTTTCCTGGAAAATGGAATTCTGGTAATATTTGTAAGTGCTGAGTACCACCCGAGTGCCAGGTGCCATCTCTAGGTGGGGTCTTCCCCTTGTCGGCCTCATCATGCATTCTTTTTGTTCTTGGCTGGCTTTGTTTACTTTACTTATTGTTACCTGCCTGGATTCTGTAAGCTTCAAGTTCACAAGTAATGAAATGAATGTGTACGGAGAATGAGAATAAATGGAAGTCATCTGAAGAATAAACCCAGGAGATGAAATCTACATATCCTTGGACTTCCAAGAAGAGAGAACAGAACCAACAGAAATGAAGCAATGTTTAGAAAAATAATAGGAAAGAGCTTTCCTAATATAAACCAGTTCCTCTGCCCCATACACAAAGATGCACATTGTATTTATAAGCAAAGATAATGAAAGCTCAGATACGAATAGACAACTACCCAGCCTCAGGGCATTTCTGACTGTCAGGGATAAAGAAGGCCTCCAAAAACAGACAAAAAGGGAAACTCAGGTTATGAGCAGCATCACAAGCCAGACTGGCCTTTGCCTTCTTTCACCACTAAATTACAGGAGAAAACGAGGTGACAGTTCCAGAACTCTAAAGGACACAGCTTCTATTTTTAGTGACATTCCATTCATGCATGAAGTCAAGAGTAATATTTTCTCAGTAATACAAAGATTAAGAAAATATGCCACCTAGATATACTTTCTGAATAAACTAACTGAAGATCGTGTACAAAGGATCCAATGGAGAAAGGAAGGCAAAGCTTAGGTCTGAGAATAATAGAGTTGAAATATTATAGAAGATTAAGTAAATGTAAGAAAAGGCTAGAATAATTATATGTATTATATAAAAGGCAAATAAGACTTTTCTCCTTAATAGAAACTAAAATAGTTTAGACTATTTTCTCACTAAAGACAACTAGACATATATATATATATATATATATATATATATATATATATAGTTTATTGTATATTATACACACATATAATATTGTTTTTGGTTTTTTATAATATTGTTTTTAACATATTTTGACTATATATTAAATAGAAAATATGGAGGAAAAAAGACAGACTTTAAGGCATCACAGAGCTAACAAGATAATGAAGAACTGTTAGTCTAAATTCTGAATAGGAGGGCTGGCCAAATAGCTCAGTGGATTAACGAGCCTGCAAGCAGGCACAAGCATTGGGGGTTTGATCCCAGGGCCTGCTATGCCAGCCCCACCCTCAGGGTGCACTGAGACAGCAATTGAGACTGGGCGTGTTGACACATGTCTGTAATCCCAGCTCTTGGGAGGCTGTAAATAGGAGGATCACTATGAGTCTGATCTAGTAGTGAGATCCTGAACACCCAGTAGACCCTTCCCTAAAATACAGAAAAAAAAAAAATTCTGAGTAAAGAATATCCAGTTATTGGGGCTAGGGAGATAGCTCAGCAGTTGAAGTGCCTGCCTGGCAAAAGTAAAGGACCTGAGTACGATTTCTGGGTATCCCATGCTGTGCTGGCCCTGCACCATGCCAAACACCGAAACCAAACCAGACATGGTGGCTTGTGCCTGTAATCCCAGCACTGGGGAGGCTGAGACAAGAGGATCACTATGAGTCTGAGCTATGTAGTGAGACCCTGTACCAACTCAATGAATAAAAGATTATTTTTTAAACTTTTTTTTTTAAAAAAAGGAATATCTAGTTTTGTAAGGCCAGAATTCAAAATTGTTTTAACCTGAGATCATTTGCTAATTCAGAAAAAAAAAAAAAAGTCTAGAGCACCATTGCTGAAAAAAATAAAAGCTCCTTGTAGTTCCTTGTGTTTGGAACTGAAACCCTAAAGATATGTATCTTAGAAGGAAGGATGAGCTGCAGTAGATCTGACTCCTGCAAGATTGCTGCCCGCCTACAAGCCATCTCAACCCCAAATTCAGTGTGGTCCAGCTTGGTTGGCTAGCCACCCAGGCACCTAAGATAAACACACTTAAAATATTTACTAGATGAAAAGAACCATATAGTAACACATTTTATTAATAATTCATAAAATAGAATGTCTAGCATGTACATGAAAAAGTAGCCAAGAAAGAGGAAACATGGTACCATGAAATATAAAATGATGAGTAAGCCCACATAAGCTGAAAAGAGTCATAAACTCAAAGTATAAAATAATTATTCCAACTATGTATGTTTGAAGAAATAAAGATAAAATTAAAAATTTTATCTGGGAACTGGATATTGAAAAATAAGAAAAGCAAAACTAGAAATAAAAGATACTATAACTGAAATTAGTAACACAATGAGCAATTGTATGCCTTAACAACATACTAGACACAGGCAAAAGAGAATTTATTAACTAAATGTGAGGATCAAACAATATGTCCAAAATAAAATCAACAAGAAAAGAAATAAAAACCCTAAAGAAAGAAAAAACATACTGAAGTTATGATGGTTAAATCTATCACAAGCTACAAGAGCAAGAGAATTTGTCCAGGGCAGTATTTGAAGAAATTATAGTGAGAAATATCCTACATTGATGAAAGATACTGGCCAAATGTTCCAAAAGCCCTTTGAACTCAAACCAGAATAAATAAAACTTAAATCCACAACTAAGCCCATTATACGAAAACTGATGAAGGCCCGAGATAAACAGAACATCTGAAAAGCAGTCTTCAAACACTTATATAATCACTGGTTTTTCAATAGATAGAATGGAAAAGAAATGATAAGACCACAGAAGAGCTGCCAACCAAGAATTCTAAACCCAAAAGAAGAACGTGTTTCAGAAATCAGGTTTACTTAAACATTTCAGAACAAACTAAAGAGGCACAAGCCATCACCAGTGGTCTCTAGTGATGTACATGTAGGAGGATACTAATTCCAGGTAGATGATCAAAGACAGAGGAAGGAAGGAAGAAAAAACTAAATGGTGATTATTAGGTAAGTTTAAATGAATATGGATGATACAAATCCATAATAATACCAATGCCTTATAGGAATAAAATATACATTGTATTAAAATATTCCAAAGTAAAGCCAAAATCAAATTCCAGGTCAGACTGGGCAATTTAGTGACTTAATGTAATCCTGTTTCAAGATTAAAAAAATAAAAAATTAAAGGCCAGGGATGTAGGGCTTGGGTGCAGTCCCTAGCAATGCAATACAAGGGGGGAAAAAAGGCTTAATTTTCTTGTTAGCTATTTTTCTTGTCTTCTTTCTTCATTTTATTCCTATTCTTCCCTTCTCAACTTCTTATAACTCTTTTTTCTTTCTCTTTCCAATTTTGCATGCATATATCTGGTATTCTGAGCAAGTAATCTGAAGACAACACTATGTAATACAACAAACATTGTTCAATTCATATTATTTTGTTTGGTGAAGTTCTGCATCATTTCTAATTTTTTTTTGTTTTATATTACTATTCTGTATTCTCTTTCTTTTCTTTTCTTTTTCTTTCTTTTTTTTTTGTGTGAAATCAGGGATTGAACTCAGGCCCTTATGCTTGTCAGGCAAGCGCTTATTCTACTGAGCTATCTCCCCAGCCCCCTGTATTCTCTTTAAAACTAAATTTTAAAAAAATAATAATAATAAAACAAACACCCTGATGATGGTGTTTACTGGAAGAATTTCCACTGTCACATAAATTGTAGCAATTGATGCTGCAATTATCTAAGTCTCAGTAATCTGTAGGAGTGAAAAATGAGCCCTATGACTATCCAGCTGACTGCCTGTAGAGAATCTGCAGGCTGTGGCACAGAGAGGACGACTTAGGCGAGTCCAGTGGACTCTGTGACCTACACACATGTGAGAGACCTGGGCACTCAGTTGCTAGATTGTGGAGGCAGAGTCCTGTAGAGCAAAAAGTTCCCCACAGAGGGCAAGCTGGGTAGTCAGGAAAGGACACTACCAAGGCCAAGGTAAATACTGCTGATAGACCTGAGAGACTAACCCTTGAATTTATACAGGAACAAGGAGAAGTGGCTGGTCCCACCAACCAGACCTGAAAACCAGAAGATTCGTAGAGAACTTAGAACAGTTTTGTTTCTCTGATAGAATAAAATAGCACTAGACTAAAGGCTATTCTGACCCTCCATATATACCTTAAAAACAAGATTTTCAATGTGCAAGCTGTATCTGAGTGATGTAACTGGGTCCTAGAAGGAAGCTCAAGAATATATATCGGAGGGCCAGCCAAATAGCTCAGTGGATTAAAGTGCCTGCAAAGCAGGTGCAGGGCCCTGGAGTTTGATTCCCCGGGCCTGCCTTGCCAGCCCCACCCCCGAGGTGCACTGAGATGGCACTTGAGACTGGGCATGGTGGCGCACACCTCTAATCCCAGCTCTTGGGTGACTGTAAACAGGCAGAGCACTGGAGTCTGATCTAGTAGTGAGACCCTGAACACCCTATAGCCCTAAAATATATATATATATATATATATATATATATATGAATAACAATCTATCCAACGCTCCACAACCAAATTAGCAGGTATGCAAAGAAATACTGGCAGACAGTTCTCCATGTCTCTTTCATGGTTTGCACATCTTGTGAGCAGAGGTTCTGATTGCTTTTCTTGTAACTAAATTTTTCAAGAATGTTCTTATACCAAACAACATCTGAAGACAAAGAAAGTGTCTCTCTTCACTAGGAAGGGCAAGGTTGCTTACGTCCACAGAAGACAGAAGTCATGTTTGCTCCAGATCAAGCACAGACATGCTTACTGTCTGCTACAAGAGATTCGGATTCTCTATGTTCAAACCCACTAAGTGTGCAGATGGGTGTTGGCCCCTCAGGTTGCTCTGTGGAACTGGGGCTCCAGGAATGGCATACACATTCTGATTACTGCTATTGATTTGAATATATTTTTCCCAAATTAGCAAGTTATTTGCAAGTAGGAAAAAAAAACTCAGATCCTTCATAATTCTTGATAGGA